TAGCACTCTTGCTGTTACTGTCAAAGCATAGGTGTGGCCTGGAGACCAATGTGTCATTAAGACACCACCAATAGAAGGATAAGTGTTATGACAACACCTATTTTTTAACAGTGTATACACGTAGCTGTATTGGCTGTCTTGACTCCACCCCACGTGCTGTTATCAGCTATACAGCACTCTTTACTATGTATATCATCAATATTGAAAGTTGTATTTTAAAGTTTGTATTAGGCCCGCCAAGCCCCAAGAGTTCACTATAAAGTTTGAACCTGAGACTAGGGGGCCCCTTTAATTGGGGGCCTACTGCTAATTCCCCCTTGCCCCCTCCTATTGGTAGTCATGCATGATGTACATGTGACTAGTAACGTGTTATCTTGTAATATTTTTATGTAGAAATGTTCAGCTAATGGTACAGGATGTGGTGTTTGTCATTCAAGGGATCTGTTGTTCAGGTTTAGTGAAGATGTGGTTACATGTCCTAACTGCTCCTCACACTTTCACTGGTAAATACATGTACATGTACATAATGGACATTTGATGTATCTAAACTTTGTGCTTCATAAATCAGTTTTTAAATAGCTGCCTAATGCAATTAAAATTATCCAAACTAGCATGCTTCTGATAATTTGAAGTTGTGGCATTTGTTGAACTGCTAAATTTTGGTATGTTTTAATTTGTGTCCATGTCCCATTGAGCATGTACATGTGTACATAATGGTTCATAATGGTGGGTTTTATTTTGGTGAATGGCTATTATCAAAATGCCAAATTCACCAAAATTTCCCTCTCCAAAATCACACGTTCAGATATTTAAAAATGGACATATCTTACAGTATGTGTCATGTATTAACCTTCTCTTTCCTAAGGTTATAGCAAGTTCCTGTTAAAGGTTCAAGTACATTAGGTATGTGTCAATATAATTATATTGTTCTCTGTTCTAGTGTAGGCAGCAATGTAGTGCCGCCTCCACGTGACACTGCCTGGGATCACTAGTGGCTACTACTGCTAGTGATGCTAAGAGCACTACATACAAGAAGAATAGATACTAACAGTAACTATGTATGATGAATTACATTCCATTGTTAGGTTAATGACAATAAGAGGATAAGTACAATTCTCTGCTATTGAAGACTACATTGAGAAGTATTCTAAGTATAGTATTGTTAAATATGTTGTCATTGCTATAGGTTAATTGTTTGCTGTTTGAAACTGTACATTAACTGAAGACTATAAAGAATTACTTAACATTATTGTTTATAATTTTAGCATTTTTGTTTAATACACAAAGTTGTCTTTTTGTCATTGATTATTATGAATTTTGATTAAAATTATTGCGAGAGCCATTAATGCAGACGTAGGTGCTATGACTTATAAACAGAAATGAGATTAAATCATGAAAATGACAATAAAATAAGAAACACACTTCAGCCATACATGCAGAGTACAAGTCAACAATGATTTTAATTAATTAAACCAGTCTTAAAGTGTTACAGTCCTTAGTTCCTAAACCCAGTCTATAGATCTTCAGTATATGAATGAGAGATCAGTCCTTGAGATGATGAGTTCAGCCTCAGGTCCACAACCTATAATAAATAATAAGAAATGATTAGTTATTATTAATATTGACATTAAGCTGATTCTAACAAAAAAAATTAATTTTGAAATATGCAGCAATTTTAAAATAGTAAATTTTCCAAAAAAAAGCAAAAGCTAAAAGCACGTGTTCTTTCCCAAAAATGGCTCAAAAACCACCTCAAAATTTTATTATATTCTCTGATACATGTCCTTATACTGTTTAGAAAGTTAGAGCTGATTCCGACTTAAATTTTTAAAGTTATGGCCATTAAAAAAGAATATGCCAAATTCTGAAAAAATCCCTGTACTACAGCCCATAGTTTTTTTGCCAAAAAATGGCTCAAAAATTACCCCTAATTCTTATTAAATTTTCTGATACATATTGACGTACTTATGCTATCTACAATGTTTGAGCTGATTCCGACTTACCAGTTATGGCCATTAA